TAAGGTGCTAGCTAATTAAATCTGGCATTTCCAAAGGGTCTGGGCAACCCCACTGGTCTGCCAGTGCAGTGGTCCTCCACGGTTTGCTCTTTGAAGTCTGCGAGTCATGTGGCGAGTTAAATGTCATGAGCTAAGGAAAAAAAAAAGGGATGGGGGGAAGGCATTTGTGATCTGCAGTCCCGTGGAGCAATGAATTAGGGCTGTGAGATTGTGCTGGAGCCAAAGTAGAGGACACATGCACGGAGAGATGTTTAAAGCCAACCTGAGCTTGGCAAAGGTCTCTCTGCAAGACAAATGAGATGAGTTTGCCAGTCAGCAGCAAGCGGCAGGTTGCAGAGAGCTGGATCGTATCATTTATTATCTTACTTATTTGCATTGCTGGCTGGCCCAGCTGATCTCCAGAGGTGTTTTCCAACCTTAATTATTTTGGCCCACCGTAATTAATACAGCCAGCATGAGGAAATGCCGCTGCCTTAGACAACCGATGCGGATGGGATGGGGCTGAGCCCCCAGGGACTGAAGCAGCAACCAGTGCGAGCTCAGGACCTGACTTCGACAGATCATTTGCCATTCAGCTGTACACCAGGGTCATCGCTTTTTCAAACAGCTAATTCAAGAGAAAAATGCCACCATTAACCTATGAATGATTTGTCGCTGGAAGCCAGGCGCCGCTTCAAAGCCTGAGCATCCCATGCTCTTTGGCGAGCCAGGGGCTCTGCAGACAGATGAGGGCAGTCGGGAAAGCAGATGCTAAGCAGAAGCTTTTAAATAGCCAAACTCCAAATATTTGGTAGGGATTGAAAATAACTTGCAGGTCAGCAGTGTCTCTCCAAACTGCGCAAACCCACTTGCACAGTGCAGAGCTTGAGATGTTATTTTACTGCCCCAAAATAACTTTGCAGGGACAGGTGCTTGAGCCACTGTCAAACACCCTCCCCTGCTTGCACAGCCTTGGTGCAGTTATTTAAGGAAGGCGCCGGCAGCAGCCGGCTTGTTTGCAATGCCATGATGAAAAATAATATTATTTTTTCAGTTCATAGTGAAAGTAGAGAACTTCTCCCAACACTAGCAAGTTCTCTTGGCAAATGGAACCCAGAAAGCACAACCCCGGCATGCAGAGGGTATCAGAGACCAGGATGTGCACGTGAGGTTTTTTTCACTAGGAAACATGCCTGTTCTCAGCCTGCTCACGTGGGGGGAAGCAGACGGAGACCTTGGCGCAGGTGAGATGCTGCATCTGCAACAGGAGCCAGCGATTCACCTCGATTCAATTCAGTGGCTGGTCGCCGCCACTAACCCAATTCAGTGGCTGCTCGCCGCTACTAACCACCGATTCCCTCTCCTGCTTTTGGTTTCGAAATAGATGTCTGATCCATTCCAATTTCATTAGCTGCCATTTCAATTTGCTAAGGGAAGGGGAAAAGCCGCTCTACTTGCCAGCTTCTCTGGGAGATAACAGCCCACAGCAACCATCTAGGCTGGGCAAGGCAAAAGGAGATGGCAGTCCCCTCCTCCAACATCACTGTCCCATAACTCCTACGGGCTCCTCCATCCTGTACAAGATCCTAAATCCCCACACCAAAGACCTTTAAATTGCAAACCCCAGGCTTCTACAAGTGCTCTGATCCTGCATTTCTCGTAGATAGAATAACATACAGATGATTTCACCTTGAGACCAGTTTTCAGCACCCAGGGTCCAAAAAACAATGTCCCAGGGCTCTCTGGAAATCCCTGACCCTACCATGCCCAGACAGCTCTGAAAATAAGAGTCTGTCTTGCTTATGTTAGGTAACAGCTCCTCTGGGGCATTTCTGCATTGCTGTCAGCTGTTTGCAGCTGGTTTAAGACCCTGCATTACATGAGAACCACAACAAAATCTTCATCGCGGAGCCACAGAGACGCCTCTTTAATTAGCAAAATAGAAAACAGCCCTACAAAATCCAGCTCAAATGCAATTAGCGCTAGGCGAAGAGGAGGCCAAATGAGATTGCAGGTACAAACCGAGGAGGAGATGGCGTGGCAGCACGGGTTTGGGGCCAACCCCATTCCCTGTGGGAGTTGCACCAGGCACAAGCCTGACCCACTCGTTACACTTTGGAGATACTATTCAATCAAAGCTCCCGGGAGGACAAGAGAGTGCAAGAGTGGAGAGCGTGGCTACAGGGCCTGAACATGCAGCACCTTGCATTCGAGGTGGGCATGCACCCCAAAAATGCATGCAAAGACCCTAAAGCTGTTGGAAGAAAATCACCCCCAGATCTGGCGGCACACGTGATGCTTTGCAAGCTGGCACTGTGCAAGCCAGCCACATTTCTGTACTGCTACTGCTCATCTTTCTGCAGAGGAGAGGTTTTTGCAAGCTCTGATGGTAGGAAGGAACCTGGCAAGGTCAAACCATCCATTCCCATCCTGTTTGTTAAAAACAGCATTATTTTTTTCCCCTTTTAAACCAGCTACTATTAAACACAAATCCTTTACTGAACCTGCTGCAATCCCAGTAGCTATTGCAACCTCCCACAGCTCCACTGACTTCACAACCAGTCTCAAACATGTCCTAACAGTTTAATCCAGACTGTCTCATTTGATTTTGGGCTTATTTACACCTGTTATAAGCAGACACCAAGATCCTGCCCTTTCCATCAGCCTGGAGAACTGACTTGGCCGCTGAATTCACAGAAAAGTTCTAATAAACCTCCATGACACGGGTTTAGGTTGTGTTTTTGGGGACTGGGATTATGCCTTGTGCCACCTGAGCCCAGCTAAACTGATGGTGGACCAGGATTCAGACCTAGTGTTTGCCCCGCAAGAAAAGCCTTTATTTCTTCAGCTTAATATTCCCATCCTTTATATGTCAAAAAAAATCACATTTTTTCCTGCAGGACTGCCAGATAAAAGGTGTGATAAGGGCAAGCATTCATCTTTAGGATAATTTGGGGTGTAAACAGAGTAAAAGTGAAAGCAGAGCCGTTTCAGCTAAGACATCCTTGCCTTATGAAGGTAACACAAGTTCTTCACTGGCCTCTACATCCCATCCCAGGAGGGTGCTAGGATGCCAAAGGCTGGCAGCTGCAGCTTGGAAAAGATTGGGGTGACATTAGGTAGTCCTTCCTGGCCCGAGCTCTGCAGGCAACGTACCTGCAGGAACCGTGCCAAATTCTCTTTGCCCCTGTGAAGCACTTTGCCTTCAAGCTCTGTTTGGAAGAAAAAGACTGAATAGATAGAGGACACGCACAACGACCATCATTCTTTTTCTAGGTATCACTTCTGCATGACCATCCTGATCTACTTCTTGCCGCTTCTGGTGATAGGATGTGCCTACACCGTAGTTGGCATCACCCTCTGGGCGAGTGAGATACCTGGTGACAACTCCGACCGCTACCATGAGCAGGTCTCGGCGAAGCGAAAGGTAAGAAGCTTCAAGCACAGTAGGAGCCATCACTCATGCCCGATCCCAACTAACCACAGCCAAAAATACTTCATTAGGGGTGGAATCAGGTCAGGACTTGGCACGTGGTTGTTGCCAACGGAGCAGAGAGTATCCTCCACGAACGCACATGGTTAAACCAAGATGTCAACCACGTGTTCCTGGTTGGAAAGGTCTCCAAGGCAAAAAGAGGTGGCCCCTTTTGGAAGGTGACACCCCATCTGTGGGGTGTCCGACAGATGACTTTGCTTCCCTGCCCTCTCTTCTCCTCGCAGGTAGTGAAGATGATGATCATCGTGGTATGCACGTTCGCGCTGTGCTGGCTGCCCTACCACATCTACTTCACCCTGCAGTATTTCAACCCCGAGTGGTATCTGCAGAAGTTCATCCAGCAAGTTTACCTGGCTATCATGTGGCTGGCCATGAGCTCCACCATGTACAACCCCATCATCTACTGCTGCCTCAATGACAGGTGGGTTTCAAGTGACTTTCAGCAGCATCCTTGTGCAACAGGGAGGGGAGGAGGGGGAGATACAGAAGGGTCTGATGGAGAAGAGTGTGGATGGAGAGGTTTTCCAGGATGGTTTTGTCCTATCCTCTGTCAGGGGCTGCTTCCAGCAGATGCAGGGACAATACAATACTCACCTAAGTCTTTCCTAAAGCCTCTGTGGGATTTGAGGGCAGGTATCAAAACAGTCCCAATCCCTAATTGGGATTTTTTTCCTCCCCTTAGTGAAAAGTAGCATTTTTTTGTTGTTTCACAGTGCTCAGCTCTGCCTTCCCACTCCTAGCAAGCTCCTTTTGCCATCTCCCCGTTCCTCACCCCTGCCTTTCCTCATCTCTTCCTCCTCCCAGGTTCCGCGTGGGGTTCAAACATGCATTTCGGTGGTGCCCATTGGTCAGTGCCGGTGAGTACGAGGGCCTGGAAATGAAGTCAGCCCGGTACCTGCAGACACAGAGCAGCATGTACAAGGTCAGCCGTATAGAGACCACTGTGTCCTCAGCAGTTGGCGTGGCCGAAGAGGAGCTGGAGGAGAGCAGCAAGGCCAAGCGTCTCTCCGTAGACATGACCTCCAATGGCTCCTCCCACAGTGACTCCAAAACAGTCTCCGAAAGCTTCAGCTTCTACTCCAACACACTCACCTAAGCGGCTCCCCGGCTCTGCCAGCTGCTCACAAGAACGCCACCATGCCCTCTCCCTCACTGGGATGCTCAATCCACCCTGCGTCATCACCCCAGTTTGTGATGTGCCGGCTTTTTTCTGTGCTGTTTTACTGTCTCTTGCTGTGCTGCTCGCTCGCCATCCTTGTGCGAGCCCAAGAGCAAAAGCTTTGGATTAGTTTCATGTGCTCCACCGTGGCTTGTGCCCAAACACAAGGGAGGTTTGGCTGGCCTCCGCATTGCTCGCTGCCTGTCCAACCTACCACATACTGTGCAGGTGGATAGGATGCAGAAACGGGAGAGCGCTGGGTTTTTTTCTCCTAAACCATAAGTGCAACATTAGCAGGCGCTTCCCTGTTCTCTGCAATGCAGCAGGGATCTTCCAGTGCATCCCGCCCCACAGGAAAATGAACCAGTCTTGCACTTTCCTCCTCCCACCTTTAATTTCATTCTCCCTGTCACTCTCAGTTGAATATCCAGAGGGATATTCAATTAAAAAACCCAGTTTAAAAAAAAAAAAAAGCTCTTTTCAATTTTGGGAGCCTGTACATCCCCAGGACACCACTGGCACCAACTCAGATCCAGGCATTTCTGCATTTCCCAACTCATCTCTGGCACCTGCGTCCCTCTGCACGACGGTCTTTTGTTGCTACTCCACAACACAGCTCATCCAAACGTGGCTCTTGAAAAAGGATTTCTGAACTAAGCCAGACTTTGGTTGCTGTTAATAAACCATATGTGCCAAAAGCAATCACTGTGATTTCCTAAAAGGCCCAAGTTGATGTCTCTTGGATAGATTTTGTAGGCATGTGGAGGTCTGGAGAAGAGGAGACTGACCGTACCGAAATGTTTTTCACACCCTGGAAACGCATACAGCTGCACAGAAAGGGGCATGGTAGGATTCCGTCAGAAAAGCAAAGTTTTGCCAACATACAAGGTTTGAAGGGAGACAGGGATTTTGCAGACATTTTTTACTCAGAGGAGGGTTGAAATTATTTACTTCCACTTTCTGGATTTTGTTTTAATTAGGGAAACCGTTTTTCCTTTTCATCCCCCTGTCTGTTGCATAAAACATTAAGTTTATGATGAGTACATAGATATATCTATTTTAATCCTGTTATAATGGATAATTTTCACTGGGGCTGTTCATATCAAGGGCTCCTTTGGTCAGCAAATGTATGAACATACACTCAAAGGGGGAAAAAAGTAAATAAAATGAGAAGTGGGGAAACTTGGCTTGTCGGAAACAAACCCACAAATCGGGGGCAATTTTGGGGCAGTTGTATCAACTGCTCCTTGCTGGTGGTCCAATCTCTCACTTTTGGTGTAGAAATCAGACTCCTAAAATGGATTCACTGCAAGATAGAGAAACGCTGGAGATGCATGACAGATTTTCACAGGGCAAGGAAACCGCTCATTTATTTTAAAGCAGCTGAACATCAGACCCCACTGGGCACTCAGCAATTTCTGCAAGTAAAGCAGAGATGATTTTTGGAGCTTTTCAACCAAACTAGCTGTTGGAAAATCCAGTCATTAATAAGTCTCCAGCCACGATGGTTCTTGAAGATAAAAATATAAATATTTAAGCAGTGACTCCAGCAGAAATTAAATGAACAGGCGCAAATAGATGGATCCAAGAGCAACAAAATGGCTGCAAAACTGGATTGATAATAATGATTATCTTCATTTTTACCCCAAATCCTGCCAAGTGCCATCAGTGACAAGCAGCTCTTCCAGCCACTTCTACCTTCTTCCCGACTGCTGTGACTATGTGACATTAAACTGCCATGTGCTTCACGCACATGCTGGAATACACTTTTTTTTTTCCGCCCTGCTTAAACTTCTACTTTTCACCATTCTTGTCGCCTTAAGACATATTCCCTTGCCGCTGCTTCCCATGACCCTGCAGCGTGGAGAAGGGGCCATGGTGTGAGCCTGCCTGGGGATTTGGTTTTGCAAAAAAATACCAGCCCCCAGGCAGCAGCGATTGAAGGGATGAGCGATGCCAAGGGTTTTAACAGGAAACTCTTCCCACCAACTCCACAGGAGCTGTGCTGCCAATACACGAGAAGGTGCTACAAATCAGAGCCAAATTCTGATTTACTCCCAGCTGCCAACCCAAAATGAAAATGAAACCAAATATCTCAAAATGGTCTGGAGAGTCAAATAAGGGAAGCAGAGATCTGCTCCATACACTGCACACAAAAGAGCTTGCATCAGGTTACGAGCCTACAAAAGTCAGCATTTAAAAAAAACCCAACCACTAGATACGTGTGTGTGTGTGTATATATATATATAAAAAACCTGTTGCCCTTTTGTCCTCTATGTTTTATGCCCCAAGGATCATGAGATGTGCAGAGAAAGGACAACTGTCTTCTCACAAGCAATGCTCAGCATGAAACGTGGGATAACCCCAAGGGCATGCATGGAGACTTCAGTTCAAGCTGACAGTTTACAGCCTGAAATGCTTCTTGTGCATCTCGTAGAAAACTATCTCTTGAAACAAAGTGGGAAGAACTCCCACCTGTTACAAACAGTGCCAATGGCTGGAGCAGAGCAGGCCTGGGATGCCCAAGCTGATGGGAACATGTCAAGGGATCACTCAACAGATGGAGACCGATGCAGGAGAATCAGTGTTCTGCGGAAATGGGTACAACCCAAACCTGGGTTTTCCTTTCTGCCCTCCAAGTGCCAAGTTATTTTATCAGTGGAGGCAGGAACAGGGACAAGGTTCCTTTCATATTTAGGATCTAGGCTGACCCATGAGTGGGATGTTTGGGTCAGGTCCGTGTCCACGCACGTGCACACATCAGGCAACATTAGCTAGTTTCACCAACCTTGGGATGCTCTGTGTGTGTGCAAAAACCACAGAGAAGTGGTCTTTTGAAGATTGAAAAGCCCAAAACAAGACACCCCTGCCCAGGCTTGGGAGTGGGACACCTAACCATACGGTGAGTCCAGTCTCTGCACTATTTCCAGCTCTCCTTTCAAACAGGTCAGCTGTAATACAGAGGCTTTTTCGAGTTTATTAGCCTGTTTCCCTGGTTTGCTTGCAGATCTCTGATTAGAAATTCAATTGCAAAGCGAGACAGTTTCTTTGTCTCTTTCCTGGCTCTCTGAAATGCAAAGTAATAGCATCTGGAGAGAATCACTCAGCAGGTCTGCGCACATCCCTTTGCCATCTCCTCCTTGGAGGCATACAGATAACTCCCACTATCATTAAGGGGAGCTGCCTAAGCCCAATTACAATGCACTCCAAGCCAAAACCATTGCAGAAGGAGCTCTGAAACCCAAATCCCAGCCTGAAGCCATCTCCTTACCCCTAGGGAATTGATATAAGCTCAGGTTTGCTTCCTGGCAATCGGAAATTACTCTTCCCACCCAGCTCCCAGCAGGAACATGGAGCAGCAAATCCCCATATCCATACATACCTCGAGGTCTGCTCAATTGCTCCAAAACACAACTTTAACACCTTGTTTCATGTGTAACTGTTTATCTCCCACCAGCTCAAAACAAAATAACAGCAAAAGCCAAGCAAGAGCCTGCTTGCCGGAAAAATTAGGCAGCTTTGCAAATGTGGAAGTCAAAGCAAAGCAGCCAGTACCAATCCCCATTGTTTGTAGTGCTTGTAACAGAATTGCCGGTAGACACACAAAAGGCTGCTCACCCAGCCCTTATCTTTATTATTTTTATTTTGCTGTCCCTCAAGGGATGCAGTCACTGCTTAGCCCAGCTGAGCACACCGCATCTGCCAAGGGGTAGCAACTTGGGATGAAAGCAGAATATCCACTATTTGCTACGTATTTCTGCAGGGCTGACAGGGTTTGGGTTTTTTTTTAGCTTGCTGTGTCCTAGCCAGAGCCCTCGTGCGAGATCACACAATCAAAATGCCCAGCCCAAGAGCTCCTAGCTTTTGCTTACCATTAAAATAATATCATTTAAAAAACCCAAAAACCAAACAACACCTTTCGGGCTCCAGGAGTCTGTTAATAATCTAATGAACACACCATCCTGCCCCAAAACGCCTGTCTCCAACTGAATAATTAATATAGCCCTTATAATGCAAAGCTTAACACACAAACAGCCCCTTTTTCTGCTGCGTATCCACCCAAAATACCATCACTGCTGGAAGCTAAATCTGTTAAATGCAGCAATCGTGGCAGCCCAGAGAAGGGACAGTGAGTCCCAAGAGCAGGTGAGGATGACAGATGACTCTTGGGTGTCTCTGCCCTTAAACTTTCCATCCCAGACAAAAAGGCTCCTGATTCTGTGCAATACGATACAGTTGGGAGCAGGAGAAGAGTGAGGGGATGACACGGGCTGCGACGTATGTCTGGGGTTTGGTATTTGGTGTGCGGGGCAGCTGATAAGAGCTTTGTGTGAAGTTCTTCCCATAGTAGCATCTCTACAGAGAAAAAGTCTAACCCTCCTCCCCAAAATGGTCTCTCTCTGATCCTCGGGTTTGTCCAAGTGGATTTTCATAAATAAATGTTTCTTTTTGTGAGACCATGTTGTGACCTGTTAATTAACCCGCAAAGACAAGAGGTGACAACTGGTGGCTTGACGGGGGCAGGAGGAGAAGCAGTGAAAGGTAGCAAAGCCAAAACTAGGTGAAAAAGAGGGGTGAAAGGCAGCTGGTGGGTTTGGGGGGGGTCTTCAGCGTGAGGGGTGTGCTCTGAAATTTCAAAACTACAGCAAGAAAAAGCATAACCCTCAGAACTCAGCCATCTGGAAAGCTGGGACCAGCCTCACACCACCAATTCCCAAAGCACGGGAAAGGCTCAAACACAGACAGGACTTACCAGCTGGTCGCTTCTCTGCACAGGGCTGAAGCAGACGTGTGACTCGAGGATCTCGTGTCAGCACTGGCACTTCCACCTATTCTGCTGGCTGCAAGCTGGAGCAATTCCCTTAACGAAGCAGCTAATGTGCTTGGCCCTGCTTTCTGGTTTGGACTTCCCAAATCCCGCTGCTCTGCTGGGGCAGGTACCAGGACAGCACAATTCTCAACTTTCCAAGGCCTCACCACCCTGATGGGAGACAAAGTGGGAATGTAAGGAACCACCAGCCACGCTTCACCTCCCAGAGCAAAGCCCCCAGCCCAGCCTGCCCTTGCAATCAGTTCCAGCTAGCTGTAATTTGCAGTTTTTAATTAGAGGAGCATTGCCAAGGCACAGCTGATTGGCATCACTGCCAAAGGCCCTGTCCCATGTGCCTATTAAGCTCTTGTTATTTATTTTCATGGGTTATTTTATCAT